ATTAGTGACAACTGTGTGCATGAGGCACTGTACCCTGGTAAGGAATAAAAAGTGGAAAATGCAGTCATTAATAAAACAGCCTGAGAGCTACTTCCCTTCTACAGACACAGGCATGAAGAGATTCGGTTTACCTGAAGACCACAGGGGAGGGGCCACAGAACTTGTGCAGTGTCTTTTTGATGTTGTCAGTTAGTGTCGATTCATCCAAATACCAAGTACTCTGGTCTGAGGCAGAGGGTCCTGCTGTGGGGTCTGGGGATGATAGGCAGTTAGTAACCTAGAGATAAAGGCCGGGATCTGCCTGGCCTTTGGTAAGTGGCTCTCTGCACAACCAGCCTTTTTCTTCCTACTGCCCTTCTTGCTCACCACTCACCAGGGGCTCCACACACTGTATTGATGGCTGTTGACTGGGAGGACAGGAGTTCATCTAGGAGACGCTGGGCTGTGGGGAGGATCTGAGGGGGAAAGGGACAAAGGCATGGGTGACCCAAGGAGGTCTGGGCCTAACTGGAAGGTTGATATACTATCCTGGAGCTACTTGGAGTTGTGCCATCCTCACTTACCTGCTGAGGGAGCTCGCTGATGAGGTACTGGGCAAACTTCTGCAGCTGGTCCCTCTGTAACCGAGACAGGGACTCTGAGACTGGGGCACGCAGGCAGACTGCAGAAGCCTGAGACACAAAGAGAAATGGAACAATCTGAGAAAGGCTTGCTGCTACCAGAGCTGGGATCAGAGAGGTAGAGTTAGGGAAGCAAGGGGGCTCACATTGTGGCCAGGCATGCAGCAGAGAAGGGGGGATGGAGCGTAGGATAGGGCCAGAATAAATTGGGAGGGCCTCACGTTGTGGATGCGGAAGAGACAGAGTGCCACGACATGGGTGCACCATTTGGCCCCAGCCCCACAGGTACAGCTGCAGGAAGTGACCCGGCAACGGTCAAACATCACAGCCACGTTGTAGGCCCCCTTGGGAGGGACCATCTGAGGTGGCACCACTGTAGCACTCAGGTGGAACCCTGGGGAGAAACATGGGTATGGTCAGGGAGAGCTGCCAAGACACAGGTCTCTGCCCTGAAACCTGGCCCAGTAGTTATTCAGACAACCTGTTCCAACTTATTGCAGTAGGTCCTTAATTCATAACACAGGGGATGGGAGGAGTAGACTGTGCCACAGGATATGATGGAATCCTTACCTATTTGTAGTGGATCTTTCACAGCCCTCATGCGGAATAGCTGATCCCCTCGCTGAAACTCATCTGCACTGCCATTAGCCAGGCATGAATATAGCCTGGCATGAAGAAGAGGACAGAGCCACAAATCAGCAAATAACCTTCTACAGACCCTGTCAGAGACCACAATGCCCTGGGCATTCTCTCCCAGTGTCATTCCCTCTTGGGGAAAATCCCAGCACTCCCTCCTCTTCGTCATCTTCTTACCACAGCCCCAAATACAGTATCTCCTTTGTTCTGTGGGAAGCCCAGCAGTCAGTGTGGAATATCAGGACCCCACTCCCTAACATCAGTGCTTTATTTAGCCTTACCGAATATCTTCTTCATTCTCAGGGAAGCTCCAGAAAGCAATTCGGAGCTGTAACTGCTCAGGCACCGGGGGGTAAACTTTCTCCACCACTTCAAATGGGATATGAAATGCCACCTGCTTTGCTGACAGCTCCACCAATGGAATCACTAGTCCATCTTTGGAAACAAAGGTTGAGGTGGGGGAAAATGAAGAGAGTCATGCTTACTTGGCACCAGTGCCAGCACTACATCCTGAGCCCCACCTTCACTATGAAATAAAAGGGGAGACCTGGATATAAAACTAAGGGACCCTCCTATCAGGATACACTAACCCTTAAGACTCCACTTGCAAGAGGGAAGCTAGACAATACCCAGGCTACAACCTGCTACCTAAAGTGTAGAACAGAAGACACTAAGGATATCCCAGAAACTCTTGGTCAAACAGATGTATTCCAGGATTCTAGCAAGAAACCCTTCTCATATACCTTGACATTTAATTTCCCATATCTAGCATTTTAGATTCATATTACATTGTTAATTTCTCTCCTCTAGCTTTTTCTTTTATGACTGCTTTTTTAGCTATTTCTTTTTCCCCAGATGTCTCCATGTGTCCTTCTCCATCTAAAGAGGGAAGATAGGGCAGAGCTCAGAAGAATTAAAAAAGGGACCTCCAGAAGCAAAAGAGGCTGCACTTCTTTTGGCACACCTGAACCCTGTCTTCCTGCAAGGGAAGCCTTTGGAGAGGACAGTAGGATCTGGGGGGATAGGTTCTCCCAAGGGAACCTAGCTGCTGTTCCTGGAATCACATGGAATAGGATGGAGTTACCATTCAAGTTTTTCCACACTGTTTTAATCAAAAACAGTTAAACACAACAGACTGTATATCTCAACAAATTGCTAGTTAGATGACAGATCAGAAAATTATAGAGCTGAAAGGAAACTTTAAAAAAAAAGTCCTTATTTTTACAAGTGGGCAACTGAGGATAGCCTAAGAAGGAGATGGGGATGGGGGACAAATTACATGCTTCCCTACATTTTAACCTGTTCAGGAAGTAAAAAATATACTGAAAATCCTCACCACCATGACTTCCGTTACTTCCCTCAAAGTGAAGGAGCAAATATGAAAAAAAGTAGAGAGGTTGTAGAAGATCCACAGTGAAACTGCCTCTGAGCTCTGTGTGTGCACACATGTGCCCAGAGCATCTGCTATCTCTTCAACTGAAGCTGAATACTACTACTCCGACAAAGTGACATGTGTGGATTTCTCCCTATTCCAAAGCGGTGCTAGAAATTTCTGCAGGGCAGTTTAGAAACAGAACTCTTGGAATGGGCAGAATAGAATCACAAATTAAACCCTCAACTGCTGGGGAAAAAGTCAGTTTCCATTGAGGACCAGGACAAAAAGTGGGCCAGGAGGGAGGAAGGGAAAGGATGTGGTGAGTACCCAGCTTTTGGAGCTCCTCTTATCATCATTTTCCTCTCTATCCTTTTAATAAAAGCAAAATTCATCACAGCGCTAATCAATTAATTCACTGAAAGGCCCACAGATGAAAAACTCACAGTGATAAGCAGGAAGTGTTTCAATAAGGAAATTCCAGAGACAATAACCCACACTCTTCCCCAAATCCAGATGATAGAAATCTAAGGCTCTAATCTAGTGGTTCCAGCCTTGGTTTCTTGACAAATGTTCAGTATGACCAGGAACCACGCCTCTGCCCTAAACCTATGTGATTATGGAATTTCCTCTCACAGGCCAGTTTACCTCCTTTCCGCTGGGTGGAATCCCTTCTTGGTGCAGTTGGGATCAGAGATCATCAATGGGGTGATATACCTCAAGTGGTCACTTCTTCACAATCCACCCCCTACCTACATTCTCTTCTATTTTCTGGCTTGCCTGAGGCTGAACTCCGCGAGTATTTCCAAGTCAGGGAGGGGATTCTTCTCCCTTAACCCATCTCTAAGGCAAATGAATGACAAAAGATCTACTTTCTGTCTTAATCCTATCCAACCCAGGATTCACCACCCCCAAAACACAAATCTCTCTTTCTCACCTCTCTTCTCTCTCTCTCTCTCTCTCTCTCTCTCTCTCTCTCACACACACACACACACACACACACACGCACGCGCGCGCGCGCGCACACACGCACGTACACACACACACACACACACACACACATTCTAGAGTGGAGAAGTCAACCCCAGGAAGACCGGAAAATCGAGTCCTGAAGTCCGTTCTAAGCCTGGGACAGCTCCCGGTCCCGGACAGCTCCCGGTCCCGGACAGCTCCCGAGCAGGGACAGCTCTCTAACAAGGCCCGGGCAGGGCCTGCCCGCTCACCTCTTCCCCGCTCACCCTCACCTCGCATTCTGGTACCGCCACTGCCACCTCCGCCACCGCCGCCAGTGGGGGAGTTGGGCCCCGCTGACTGTTTGCGCCATCCCCGCCAGTTCTGGCAGAGGCTCTCGGCCTCGGAGATGAAAGAACAGAGCGAATCCTCCTCAAAGCGATCCGAATCCTCGAAGGAAAAGCGCTCCCCGTCCTCCCACTCCGCGAACATCAGCTCCATGGGGCCCGCACCCCCTGGGGCCGGGTCCCCCCCCGCGGATCCGGGGCCTGGGCCGCCGGCCGGGGACTGAGGGGAGGCCCGGAGCCTGAGGGGCGAGCCGGGGCCGGGGGTGGCCGGGGCGTTCAGGGCGGCCGTGCCGGCCGAGGATCTCAGGCCTGGGAGAGAGACGGGAGCGGGCCTCGCCCAACTGCGAGGTGCGAACGGGAATGGTGGCCAGTCTCCAAGACTCAGGGCCCGGACGAAGCGCTCGGCAGCCGGGGCCTCCAGGCGGCTGCGGCGCCGCCTCCCCCATCAGCTGATCTGAACTTCCGGCCGCGCCGACCACCGCCACTTCCGCCCTCGCGCGCCCGGGAATCGAACCTATTGCTGGAGACATGGGGCACCTGTTTGTTTAAATGCTACATTTCGCGCTTTTTTTTTTTAACCCACCCCCAAACATCATAAGAGGAAGACAACGGCCAAAGGTATATAAGACGACTACAGATCCCAGCAATAACTCGGCGTCCATAATGTCCCCAAGGAATAAACAGCCGCCATGCCTGCCGGGAATCGTAGGCTGTCAAGAGACAACACAGAAAATTTTGGGTGGAGTTAGCGTCCTAACTCCGGATAGGCCCTGGGTCCCTAGCACCATCTGGGAATTGTAGTCCATGCCGGAAGACTTTTTATGTAAGTCTCTAACTGGGAAAGCACCGGGTTAAAAGAAGGCGTTTGAGTCCAGAAAATGGTTGTACTCATCGTCACCAGGGCCTTTGAGTCTAGGGGGTCTTAGCCTTTTTTGTGCCACGGACCCTTTAGCAACCTGGTGAAGTTGTCATATTGTTTATAAATGAACAAAATAAAAGAATTACACAAGAAACAATTGTTGAAGTAGAATTATCAGAATACTCAAACACATTTACAACTTAGTTGTACTTCTTTATTTAAACAGAAAGATCCAACAGCAAATGTAATTAACTACCATAATTTTGAAGCCAGCGATGAAAGTGAGATATCTGAAACCAACTGTAATATATGAAAACACTGTGATTTCAGGTAGGTATTGCTAATGACACCACAGTTTATTACCTACAGTCCTAAATAAAATGCTAAATTTCAGCTCCAGTTAAAGATATAATTTTTTTCCCCATCCACCACACACCTCTTACTGGGAGTCTATTGACCCTAAGTAAAGAACTCCTTAGTCCAAAGTGCCTGAGACTGAGCTGCTTTCCCTAGCTAAACAGACCAACTTGCCCAAGACTCTATTCAAGGGGTATGAGGATTTTGTTAAGAGGTAGCTGTGGGGAGTCCAGGAAGCAAGAATCCTTCACTAATTATCCCACTGGAGTTTTAACCTCCCCTGCCCCAATCCCTCTGTCCATTTAATACTGTCAGATATATTAAAAAAAGTTAACTCAGTTATGCCTAAAATGGCAGAATATACATAAAACGCTATACAATTGTTTCTAATAGCAGGGATTCACAAAAAGAAATGCCTTTAGCAACAGGTAGATAACTATGAGAAGGGAGAGGTGATACACAAATCAGATGGCCAATTCAGTGTATTTCACCATTTGGGAGAGTCCAGAGGATAGGCCCCTAGAGAATGGAGACAAATGATAATCAGCTCTACATGATTATTGCCAGATCTTTTCATTTTTGAAGAAAAACTAAAAAGTGGATTTTTATGACATTTTTTCCTATTTCAACTTAAAAGTGAATTTTCAACTGTATGAACCAAAGGAAATACATCTGCAATACCTTTGGGTCACTAGGTTGTGAACTTTTGAGTGTTCTGGAAGCTTTTTGCAGCATCTATGCACAAAATAGGGAGTTACTAAATACTTGATGGCCAAAAAAAATATGTATACAGGCAGACTTCAGGTATCTACAACAAGGGCAATACATGGTGTAAAGGACTTCAAATGCAGGCAAGTTTTTCTTCTGCTGCTTGCAGCAAGGAACTTTCAGAGTCTAGGGAGGACTAGAAACCTTTATGCAGGGTTCAAGTATAAAGGGAGTACCTAACCCACAACAAAAGGCAAAGTTCTCTTTAGATTTTATTCAAGATCAAGTTTTACTTCCAAAGATTCTAAAGGGGTAGGGGGAAGAGTGTTTGGCCTCCTTTACCTTTCTAAAAGAAATGAGCAGTGCAAATGTCTCTAAAAACGTCTCTCCATAGTTCTCAGAGGTTATAGTCCAGTGATTGAAAATACTTTTCCATCTTCAGCTGACATGAGATTTGTTAGGAAACCTCTGTAACAACTTAGTCAACTTCTTGGCGGGTAAATATCCAGACTCTCCCATGGTATCCTGGAATGATCTCATCTTTCGGGCTGCCTGGAAACACAAACCAAAAACAAGAATAACAACTCTAAAGTTTTCCCTGATTTAAGTTAATAGTTCTTACAATGCCCCAAACACACTAAAATATTAACTCACCTGCTGTGTCATTTTTCCAGTCCCCTTTCAACAATAAGGAATAGGGACTTACAAATGACTGTGGTCTGGAGCTACCATGCCCAGACCATATAAGCTTTCCTTCAATATCTTTAGTTCTATTGCAGACAATGATTTCTATCTGTGGTGCAATTTAAATTTTACAATGTAGTTTTCCCATTCATTCCTTCGTTTGGCACTTCCAAACTTCTGTAAGTTGGGTACTAGTATTAACTGCACTTTTTATCTGGTAGAGCTAAAAGCTCAGAGCAGTGAAATAAAAAGCTCAAAAGGCAATGTCTTCAAAACTATCACCCTTCCTACTTTAGCGTGGGTGAAGTAGCTGCCAGAACTACGGTGGCCTTTTAGATTAAGGGACTTTAATCACCTAGCAAGAAGCAGAGAAAGCCATTACTTGTATCCCTCCTCCCCTTTCTCCTCCCTAGAAGGCATCCCAGGAACCTCTGTCACCTCAGCCCTTGAAGCACAATCGAAGAAGTTCTGGATTTCTTTTCTACACGCGTCATCGCGGAATTCATTCTGCTTCCAGCAAGCCATCATCACAGACATCTCCGTGATACAGGTCGCCTCTGAAGTAGTACATGGGGGGTAGGGGAAGTCAGTCATAAGAAGATTCTTAATTTCCAGCCCTCCCACCCCGCTGATTTCTGCGAAGGAATCTCCTCGGCTCCGAATGCTCACCGCCTTTCTCCCGGCGACGTTCTCCGACGCGGTTAGCTAGAATGAGGGGCTTATTGGGTTTCAATACAGGTTTCTGTGAGTTTCCAAGCCGCGCTAGGCGACCTCGCAGACTGGGCGCCGCCATTGCGCACTGAACTCCCAGCAGGCTCTTCGGCGCCGTGCGTGACCCCACGTGACCCTTACGAGTTCGATTGGGTTCGCCACCCGGATCTCGGAAAGTTAGACAGCAGCTGGCCTGCGCGGCTTCCTGTTTTTGGCTGGATTCCCAGGCTGTTTGGTTCGGACACCCGCCGGTCCAGACTTTTTAGCAGGTTAGGAGAATCCTTGGGGCTCGTACGCTGAACAAGGTCGTTCCTTTATGAACTTAGGGCCTTGAAGTCTGGGGGCAAACTGGGCCGGGAACTCCTAGGAAAGGGCAGTTTGTTTCCCCTGGTGGACATTTGTTTATATGTGGACTTTGTTTCTCCTGGTAGCCCAATGGACTACAGGGTTATTGACATAGGCAAGGGCAATGGGAGCAAATCAAAATAAGAGATTTTAAGATGTTAGGTTGGGGAAGACTTTGCTTTGTTCTAATAAACCTTCAAGAACTTTTGGTTTTGACTAACTTTAAAGTTTCTACGAAGCCTAAAAAAAAAACAAACCTGGTTGTCACGTTTAGCTCTTTACAAAATTCAGCCCAAAGATGTGCTATGAATTATCAAGGCTTTACAAATGAGCTTCAGGAAATATTTCCAGTGCCCCAAAATTACTGGAGGAAAAAAATATTTCTGATAAATAGAAGTATAACTTGAATAAGCTCGTAGTAGCTCATTTTTCTTGTATAGACAACAGCTACTACTTAAATATTGCTTGCTCATTTGTAAAGATCTCACTGGCGAGGGTGAGGTTTAAGCACTTTCGCATTCGTCATCTTATTTAATTCTCTAGACAATCCTGTGATCTTTGGTAGTGTTGTAACAGGGTGGTCCCTGAGATCTGTGCCACCATAGATATGGTGGAATAAAAATTAAAAGGGGGGATTGTAACAGGGTGGTCCCCAGGAAAGGGGGAGGTTCCCTGCCCCACCCAAGGGAGGGTGGAGCTGAGCAGGAAGAGGAGAAGCTGCAGAAGAGACTGAGGAAGGAAGCAGGATGGAGCAAGGAGACCTGGAGGAGGTGCATGGAGCCTAGGGACACGTGAAGAAACTGCGCTTGTCTTTTGGTCGTGGACTAGGTGACACAGATGTGGGTGAGACCCGTGGGGAGGTGACAATGGCAGCTTTTATCTTGATGTTGATTTTGCTCTTTTCCTTCCGGGCTTGTCCAGTTGTTTGTGACCCTTTTCTGTGGGTCCCCACTGAAAGATGCTTTAGACTTGTAGCAGGCTTTGGGGCCTTGTTCTGGGCCAATCCCATTTGGATGGACTTTTACCCACGAGGGGACGGGTAACTCTGGATGCTTCATTTAGAAACTAGACTCTTTGCCTTACCTGTATTGTTTCCTAGTTTTATTAAAGTTCCTTCCCATTAAAGTCTCCTATGTTTTGTGTTGATGCGGCGGATGGCAGAACCCATGTAGAATAGGCAGGTTTGCGGGGTTTGGGCTGCCCCTCTCCCTGTCCTATAATAGTGTCTTTCCTATTTATAGACTTGGACCTTCAGTTGTGATACCGGGCCTCATCAGACTTGGTTGTGACTTTTTTTTTTAAAAGATTTATTTATTTATGCATACAAGAGCTGGGGTACAGGCCAGAGGTGCTGGGGGGGGGAGGTGTGAGAGGATTCACCAGAGACAGAGTGGGGTACAGAACTGGCAGACTGACTCAGATACACTGCTTAGGCGAGCAGCAGGCGAGACAGGAGAGGCCTGCGGCGCCATGTGGGTTGCTCCCTGGCCAGCTGGGGATGGAACTGGTGCTGCAGAGGCTGCGGATTGCCTCATAGTGCTGTGCTTAACTCCTTGGGCCACCAGGGAGGCCTGGTTGTCACGTTTAGCTCTTTACAAAATTCAGCCCAAAGATATGCTATGAATTATCAAGGCTTTACAAATGAGCTCCAGGAAATGTTTCCAGTGCCCCAAAATTATTGGAGGAAAAAAGTTTCTGATAATGGAAGTATAACTTGAATAAGCTTGTAGTTCATAACTACTTTGAAGGACAATATTTGTGTAAATTTAGTGTACTTAAAATAATTTGTCACAGATGTTTGGAATCTTCCCGGAGGGGCCTTGTCAAAGAGGTTTTCTATGACTTCTCACATCTCACCACCAACCTGTTTTATTGTCTTCATAGCACCTATCACAGTTTGAAAGAAGTTGTCATTGTTTATGGCCTTACCCCAAACACCCACATACATGAAGGGACATATCTTTCTTCTTCATTATGAATCTCCAGTACCTAGAGAAGTACCAATAGATACTTGTTAAATGAACTGTTTCAAATGTTTTTGCAAGTCTCCAACTTTATTATGCCCATCCCAGAAATCAAACAAAAGACAATGTTTAAAAAGCAATTTATTATACAAAATGAAACCTGAGATAATAGAAAATAGCAACACTTGCAGTAATAAATAGCAACACTTGCAATTGCTTGTGGTAAAAAAGCCTCATGCTCCATCTCTCTCCAGCAGCACAAATAAAATGGATTCCTATCAGGTATTTCTAGGGCCAGTAACCCCAAGTCTGCTACAGAACAGGCTGGGCTCCAAACCAGAAAAAATCACATTGCTTGCTTTCTTCATAGAAAAAATGAAGCATTTAGTTGATAACTACCATGTGGCTATTCCTGGTTCTGCGTTCTCTTGTGAAAGTGTGGTACCTGGTTTACCCTGCTCTCTTGTGAGTACTTTTATGGTAATTGGACTGAAGAAGAAAGTTCTGGGACACAATAAAACACACTTGTGTCTCCAGGCACAATCATTCATAAACACCTGGATGACTTTCTACACAAATGTGCAAAGGAAGCGCCAATGTTAGCTGGTGTAATTAGAAGAAGTAAGGATGAGTCTACACTTTCATAACCATCACTTACCCTTATATTGCACATAATGAAAATTGAGTCCTAACCTTGGTTTGCACTTGAATAATATGTATTTTGCATTATAAATCAGCAGGATCTACATTTAAATAAGTCACAAGATTAGAAATTATGGAATCCTGCATTTGACTTTCTTTTGTGGATTCCTATATCAAATTCTAGCAAGTATTTTTGAAGGTCTGTCTTCCTCTTTCCAGGCTGTTATGAAGGGCTTTTTTTTTTTTAATTCAAGAATAAAATAAAAAAAAATAACACACACACTCATATATATATATATATATATATATATATATATATATATATACACACACACACATACACACAAACTTACAGCCAGATATACTGAAAAGTTATGGAACTTTTCTTGATAATTCATCAATACAAAATTAACAACTGGGTAGCTCTAAGGTCCAAGGTATTCTAGTTCCACTGCCCCAGAAAAAGCTAATGGTCTTCCTGCCCATTAAGCTGTATGTTCAAACCACAACTACATTCCCAAATTTGACTAACACACCTTTTCATTTAGCTAGCCATTTATGGTGCTCCATCTAAATGCAGTCTCGGTATATACCATAAAGATTGTAGTATTAAAAAGATATCAGTAATTGAATGAATGAAGTTGGAATAATCATCTCACTTAAAGTGAGTAGTGCTACAGAATATGAGATGATGTTCAGAGCTATTATTGAACTGTTTCTCCCAGCATAATTTTCATGATTCTATGGGGAAAATAAGACTTTTGTAGCATATACCTATAATTAAACTGAGGGAGGAGTTCATTAGGCATACAGAAAAAAAACAAAGAACTATAAAAATCCACACTTTGATTCACATTGGCCTATTTTAACATTTCAAAAGCATTTATATATACATATGTGTATATGTCATATATGTGTGTATGTGTATACATAATAAGGAGAATGAAATGGCTAGAGAAATAAGTAGTTCTTTAAAAATTCTTTTGGGTAAGCATCTGAATCAAATGGATGTTTCAGGTTTCTGTTTCCCACTAAACCAAGAACTGGATGCCTCCATCTTTCTTTGAGAAAGATAGGCTGAGACTCTAGCTATACATAATTAGTATATAACTAGAATTCTTATATTCAAGGTAAGACTGTTCATTGCCAGTTTGTGCAGCAGATGCCCGACAAGTTCCATGATTGAATAAGGATGTCCATCTCCTTAACTCTTATCAAGTTAAAGGCTTTCACAAGAGTAATCAGAGATTTTGGTTCCGTTTCATGAAGATGTCATGTAGGTAATCCCAGAACTTCCTCTCTTGTGTCTCATTGTTGTGGATCATAGCAGTGAGAGCTTCCCCCTGGTCCAGACCTTGCCAATAATCCTGCAGCCACATCTCCTTCCAGCTGAAACAAAATAGGGATTGTGTTATGAAACCTCAGCACAAACTTGAGCCCTGCCTTTCTCTGAAAGGCACCAAAGAAATCTTAGGCAAACACAGTAGTATGGCTAAGACAGGGCTATGCTTCAAATGGAAATAGAAATGATGTAAACCCTGTACTTGTCCAAGTGATGGGCAGTAAACCACAAACACAAACATATCACGCGGTCCACCCAATGAGTAAAATCTATGACTTGCCTGTTCCCAAATGTGAAGGGAGTTCAGTGGCAAGCAGGGCAGAGGCCAGACTATGGAAGCAGCAGTCTTGTTAAGGAAAGCAAAGGAGCATATTTACTTGGTTACCTGTTAATTTGCATGCCCCTTTATTACAATAATTGAAATCAAAGTGCAGTGCCACCCAGTGTCTAGATAAGATATAAGCTCAGTATTTCTTTTAAATGTTTTATACTTTTCTCCAATAAATCATATTATGTTCAACATAAACTAGGTAGAAATTACTTGATGAAGGACTCCAATCTCAGGTCGAAACTGTGCCCACAAAATATAGAAGCAGCCTTCTGCTGCCATCCACTGTCCAAATCAGTCTCTGCAGAAGATTCCAGCAGCTTCTCAAGCTCAATAATTTTATCACCTCTCCTCCAACCCATGTGGTCTGCTCCAAGTGACAGCAACATTTTGGACCCCACCTCCCATGCTAATCTTGTTTGCCAGAGCCACCACCTTCTGCCATCTGTTACAGTAACCTCTTCATTTCCCTTGCCCACAACCCTTATTATCTTCTGTTTTTTTTATGCATAGAACTAGGGTGTAGGCTAGAAGTGTGGGGGAATGAGAGGATTCACCAGAGACAATGGGGAGCAGAACAGGTGGATTTACTGAAATACACTAAAGGGAGCAGCAGGCAAGACAGGAGAGGTCTGCTCTGCCACAAGTGGGTTAGCACCCTGGTGGGGGATCAACTCAGGCCACAGGTGATAGCCTGACAGCGCTGACAATTAACCCCTAGGCCACCAGGGAGGTACAATTATTATCTTTTGAGAGCATTCCTTCTACCTAAAAGTGAATATCCAAATTAGGGTGCCTTTAAGACTGAAAGGAGGTGCTATTAATAATTATGCTAGGTTAATTGATGTAAACTCTGACTACTGCAGACAAACCTAACCTCAAAATACTTACTTGTATTTCCCACCCCCACTCCCACAGGGCAGTGTGTGCTTAGTAAATAGCAGAGTAGATTTTCAGGACAGTCCAACTCCTGGCCTGGCCCCAGTTTAACTACCAAACTTGTATCTCTTCCTGATTGGCCCTCTTCTCTGGTTGAAACCTTTTATGAATCAGTATTGTAAACAATACCCACATAAGCTGAATTCAATTAAGTTGTTGCTTGCATTTTTTGTTGCTGGTATTTTACATCTTTTATAGACATCTTGAAGGCAGATGAGCCCATGATAATGTCTTTCCACAGCAGCCCCTCAGTTCGTAATGTCACAGGACAGAAGTGAATCATTTGATTTGAAGGCAGTGGGGGACCCCAGTTACCCTTACCTGTCATTCTCAGGAATCTCTTCCATACTGCCAAAGCCAGGAGTGGGCACTGGGCAATCCATGTGTGAAGGCTGGGCAATGTGAGGCTCAGGGACAGGGATGTCCTCAGGAGAGGCTGCCTGGGCTTTCTCAGCTTCCAGCCGAGCCAATTCGTGGTCACAGACGAAACACTCAAAACCATTGAGGTAGTTAGGCAGTGAAGGATCATTCACTCCCCATTCTCGATGCTTCAGACTATCCAGAAGGAACTGGTTGGTGATGCCCCCTGGTTGCTTGTAGGCCAGGTATTTCATATATTCCTCATCATTCTTGTCCAGAAAGTCAATAAATTCTGCCAGCTTCTGAGGTGACTCGAAGTCATCGATGAGGATGATGGAGTGATTGTTGGGCATCCAGTCCCTCACAGAGGGAGAGCCGCGGTACACAGGCACAGCACCCAGGTGCATGGGGCGCCACAGTTTTTCTGTCATGTAGTCGTCACAGATGGCATTTTCGAGGGCCAAATGGAATTTATAGCGGGACAAGAAGGCCAAGAGCTCTGGATCCTCGGTGGTGGCTGTGGCTGTGTCCTGTAGCCGAGAAGTAGGCAGCTCCCGATTTTGTAGGCATTTCCCATAAGAGTCCACCTGAGCAGGGTAGAGTTAGAGGTCAGACCAGGAGCCCTGGCTTCCGCGCCGCCGCCCCTGCCCCTCCCCACGCCCTCACCCACCGGGATGTAGCGCATGAGCTCGCGCACGTAGCGGTCCCGGTCCGCGGGCACGTCGCAGTGGGACTGCAGATACAGCAGAGGCGCGTAGCCACGGCGGCGCCACTCCGCGCGTTCCCGGAGCGGAGGCGCAGCATGGCGCAGGTAGGCGGTCCCGGGCAGCCACTGTAGGGACAGTGGGTAGTCCGAGTGGCGGCTGAAAGTGGCAGTAAGATTGAAGAGACGGATGCCCGGACCGTGGCTCAGCAAGAAGTTATTGAGGGGCGACTCCTCGTGCAGGAGCGCCCAGTTCTGGTGCGCCAGGCGCGGCAGCGGCGCCTCGGACGCGCGGAAGTCGGTGCCGTAGAAGAGCAGCGCGCGCGTCCGTACGTGCCCCCGCGCCCGGCGGTCCCGGGATGCCACGCACGCGCCGCGCGCGCACTCGATACGCTCCGAGTCCCCGGGAAAGTGGGGAAACAGCCCTGGGCTCCACCACAGCAACACCGGCAAGTCCACCGCCTCCTCCCGTGCAGAGCGCGGGGTTCCCGGGCTGTGCGCCACCCCCACCGCGCCCAACGCTGAGGGCGCCCGGAAAACCGCGCCATCCCACGGCTCCGCCCACGCCGCCTCCCCGCCGGAATCCCCCTCCGCCGCCGGCCCAGAGCCTCCGGCTACACAGACACTAAGCATTCCCAGGGCGGCCAGCATAACCCCAGTCCGGCCGGTCACCATGTCCACTCTGGCCACCGGTGCCTCTCAGACAGCCCAGACCCCACCCTACGGCCAGCGGCGAGACGGGGCCTTACGCCACCCGGGCACCACACGCATGCGCAGCTCCGCTCCGCCGGCCACATCCCGGGGGCTGCCCCCACTTGGCTGTAGGAACTGGAAGGCAAATTGATACGTCGCTGGTAAAAAGGAAGCCAGTGATTACATCTTAATTTATTTTATTTCTTTACAAATTAAAGATGCATTGAAAAATAAACCAATGAAGAGAAATGAGAGGTCCAGAGGAGGGGCATCCCAGGCTGGGAGCAGGCAAGCCTGGCCACCATCAAGCCTAGCCCTTGTCCTGGCCCCAGCCAGTTGGCGTTGGAAGATAATTGTCAGCCACCCTCAATCCCAAAGCCGAGTGGTGTCCAGGAAGGAGAGAACAGAGCTCCACTTGCCCCTGCCTCTCTCCCCAATACCCCCTAGCTTGGAGAAGCCATGTTTCCAATGGGAGCTCAGAGTGGGGTGTGGGCTGGCTCTGTGAGGTATTGCAAGTTGATGACCAGGCTTCCTACAGAACCATCCAGTGTTGGGGTCTCTCCAGCTGGAAAAGAGGCTGGTACCTCTTTCAGATGTTAATATACTTTGCATCTCAGTTCCCAGATTCATTCATCTATGACAATGTGCCTCTCTCCATGGAGTGATCACCACTCATTGCAGGAGAGAGAAAGAGCAGTGGAAACAAAGAGAAAGATAATCATACACCCCTCAGTAACTGTGATTTGGCTGCTGACTTCCAGGCACAAGAAAAACCAACGGGCCACTTTTCTCCCCACCACCTATGGTCTGTACCCCAGCTCTTGTGCACCTGTATGTTTTATCCCTAATATAGGAAGTTGTTGATGACACTGAGCTGAATTAGCCCCCCTGGGATCCCCACTCTTTCCTGCCTATCCCTCTTCTTGGAGGCTGGTCCAAAGGAACACATAATATTGCCAGGATCTGGGTGCCTCCAAATCCCCTAACACCGAATCATACAGTGAACTGAAAAACTACATTCATTACGACAGGATTAGCAGGAAAAGGAGGGTTAAGTGAGGGGACAGGGGCACCTTCTATCAGCAGGACATGACAGAGTTGGTAGGATACTTGAGCCCAGAAGGAAGGTGTCTCCTTATATATCCCCCTCCCCCCAAAGAGACTGAGGTCAGCTTACATGACTTATAAAATATGGAACAGTGCCGAAATCTCTGCTGTCCTGGGGTACTTTCTGAAAGCTGGCCTGGGACCCTATGCTATTTACCCATGTGCTCTAGCTCAGTAGCTGCCGAATCTCTTTGTGCATATGACAGAGAAAGTCCACATAGGATGCTCCCCCACTCAGGCTCTTGTCTTCCACCAGGAAGTGTTTGAACAGCATCTCCAGCTTGTCCTCCTGTTTTACCACGATAAGCTGTTGCCAGAACACAAGGTCATGAGATAGGGCTAAAAGGAATTAAAGATACCCTGAAGTCCCATTATCCACTTATTCCCAACCCCCTTTCCAGGGAAGAACTTGACAGAGTAAGAAATTCAGGGTTCAGATCAGTGTTACCTTCATATACCGCGATCTCTGCGCCCTTAAACTATCAATGAGGCCTCGCACCTTCTTAGACAGTGGATTATCCAGAACTGGCAGAACACTCTGGAAAACAAAATTCATTTATCCTTATGGTAAAGTACTCTAAGTCCAGTCAAGAAGGGGAAGCACAGATTTATACATCATCTGAAACCTGGAAGCCTGGGATAAATGACAGCAACCTCTCTCCCACCTCCAAATGTTCCCTGCTATTTAAGGGAACTAGCACATAACTTTGAGGCTCCTACTCATATCACAAAGTACATTTCCACACCCATATTCTCCTTGACTCCTTGCTCTCACCAAACCACTGGTTATCTGACTGAAGGAGGAGACGCTGAAGAGGCTCTGGACAACACCCTGTTGGACACTTGCTCCCACCCAGAGGAAGAGATTGAGCCCATTCTCCAGCAAGTATATATCCCCATTGCTCAGACGCTCTTCAGATGCTCGAACTGCTGGTGGTTCAGTGGTGTTCTCAATGGGAGACTTTGTCTAGACAAAAGGAAGGGGACAAGAGGTTACCAAGAACCATAAGATACATTTGCCACTGTACCCTCCTCCCCCCATACACTCACTATTTCACAAAGCCACGTCCCAAAGACCATCCCTTCTGGATTCTTAGTAACCCAGTGTAAAAATTACATCAGATAATGTAGGTAAAAACAAACTAGTGAGAGACACATATAAACCGCCCCCCCCTCCTTTTAAGATGCCTCTTTCTCAGTGTAATGTCTCACACTCCAACCCTCAGTCACACCATTGGTAGGAGGCGAGGATAGAAGAAGACATTTGTCTCAGCCACATCCATGGAGGTAACCAGCTGTCGGACATAGGCACGGTCATCAGTAGTGACTTCAGCTCCAGGCTGCAGGACATCACTCTTCAACACACAGTTCAGGTAAACTGGAAGTAGCTTCATACACTCAGGAAGAATCAGCTGAGGTGGTTATCAAAATAAAATCAATGATCATGAGAAATCCCTCCCAAAAGCAAAAAATTGACATAATAAATCCTCCAATATGCTTGCCCCACCTGTCCTGCAGAGGAGGGACTGGCACAATTCTTTCTGTAACAGGCCAGGATCTGAGCACACTGGGTGATAAGAGCATCACGAACAGTCTTCACAGGGCTGTTGAGGACCCCTCGGTATGCTGGTTAAGAAAGGAGACAGCACAGCCAATGGCCAATCTCCCCATGACATGTACCTTACCACCACCCCACCTATCCAGGAATGCTGAATTGTTAGTTATACTGGATCGTTCAGCTCCAATCCCACCCTTCCCTGCCTCTGTCCTCACCAAACTTGGCCATGTAGTTGATGAGTGTGTCAGTCTCACAGTTTCGATACAGATCAGCCAGCTGGGTGCAGCAGTTCAGAGCCAGGTTGTGGATGCGGAGCCGTCGTTGCCCTGCACAGCTAGTGTAGAGCAGGGCACACTAGGAAAAGGGAGAAAGGGGGGAACTCACACCCCTCCCTCACCAAATCATTATGAATAACTGTCCCTCTCCTATATTAACAAGAAGACATGTACCTTACCAGCCATCCCTTACCCATGACCTTACCAGTCATCCCTTTCCCAGCCTCTTCTAGGCCCTTTTACCACTCACCCACTTCCCTATTTATATGTGGTGAAATACTTCCTCCCCAGCCTGCCTCCCATATGCCACCTGCAGGAGGGCTCCACTCTCTTCATTAAGTCGATCATCATGCTTGAACTCCACAGTCACCGTCTTGTCCCCATCTAGCCCAGCCAGCTCCACATCTGTTGTATTGCTCATGTAGAAAGCCCCAAAGAAATCTACAGCACGTATACCTGAGATCACATGGACACAGACAGGGCTAAAGGTATGACAGGTGCCACTTGCCTCCCTCCCAGATTTGACCCCCCACCTGCTTTTCTCCAAGTAGGACTGACCAGTGCTTGTCCGGACCCGCATCACAGCATCAAAGCCAACGACCTTCTGTACATCCCAACGTAGGTCACTCAAGAACCGTTCCTGGTCATTGTCCACCTATGGTCCCCCGGGCCCAGAGTCACATGACTGACAACATAATATCCTGCAATCTCCCTGCACGCCCACACCCACCACTTTACAAGCCTGTTGAATTGTAATAATAACGGTGACAACGATAACAATGATGTTGATGTTAATGATATCCTTTAAACACTTATTATGTGCCAGATACCACATTAAATGTTTTACATATAATCATTTAATTCCAATTAATAAATATTAAAATCCCATTTTATAGATGAAGAATCAAAAGAGAATAATATAGTAATCAATTCTAAGTCAAGTAGTTCGTAAGTAGTAGGGCCAGAATATCAACCCATTTCAAGCCCCATGCTCCTAAGACCACTACATGGTCGTCTCCTCCAATACTGTTTCTATTAATGAATGAACAGCTGAAAAGTCACCGTACATAGGCAGACATTCTCAAGTCATCTTCTACCCACCATCCAGAATTCCATGCCATACCTGGAAACAGGCATATTTGTAGACGGAGCCACCAGTGAGCTGGGGTACCACAGAGAGTGTAGCCACATCCACATACTGGTTTGGAAAGAGGAAGAGATCTACACAGCAGCCTTGGGCAACACACTCTTTGGCCAGTGTCTGATAGGCACCTGTCTGAGGCTGGAACAGAGTCTGGGGAGGAATAGAAAGAAATTATCTCAGGTCCACCCAATTTAAGAACTGTATATGTAATACAGGATATTCAAGTATAAGACTTCAGATCTACTTTGTAAGAGTTTGCAATAGCAGAACTTCTGAAAGTCTAACTAAGAGCTTAAAAACGAAAAGAGATAAGAGTGTAGGAGTGGTAGACTAGTAGTCACAGATGTGACAGGAAAGTGCAGTATCTAGTCCCAGACATCATTCAAGAAAGCTAAGACTGTGACATTGTTAAGAGTCATCACCTTCCTCTGTAATAGAAAGTCAACCCCCCATCTCCCAAACCCACACCTTCTCCTTGTCTGTGTTGATCAACTTCCTGTCATCTCTGTTCTTCAGTTTCCCTGGGGCCTCTGCAATGGGCAGGGAGGTGTGGAACAGAAACAGCTTCCCTGCACACTCAGCAGCCTAGGAAAGAAGAGAGGACTACTTGTTCATTCTTTCCTTTATTCATTCATTATTCATTCATCTCTTGTCATTTATTCAGTGCCAACTATGTCAGGCTGACTCACTGGAGAGTCAATAATCACTGAAGAAACAAACAGGTTATATCGCAGGGGACATGATGTTCACAGGGAAATGAGGAGGTTTCAGGGACACCAGTCTTACCTTCAGAGCCTCCATTCCCGCCTGGATAACTGGGGCAAATACTGTCTCTGTCTCCCTTGTGTCTGCAAACATTTCTGGAATCTGATCCAATAAGCTGAGGAGGTAAGTATTGGGAGGAAGTCAAAACTGCCATCCAGATTTCTTAGTCCTCAACTATCTGAAGAATCACTTGGCCCCCTCTGAAAATTCCTGAGGCATATATAACC